TCGAGACAAGGATCGAGTGAAGCAGTCGATCAAACGGTACGGACGTAAATGACGCCATGCTGAGCGAGAGCCAGATCGAGTACACCACTCGATCCAGCCGAAGATCGATACCGAGATCGGATGCAACACTCGATTCGCCGATGATGATCGAGACCCAGATCGAGCCGAAGACACGATGTCCGGATATGACCGAGAGAACCGCTTGATCCTGGAATCGATCTCTGTCCTTTCAACCGTTTTTGGCCGCTAGCGAGGGGGAGACCATCAGCTTGTTTCGGCATTTTGGGAAGACGGCGACGTCCTTTTCCCACACAATTTCAGATCCTTATCTTTTTCTTTATGTTTTCTCTCTCATTTTCGTAAAGAACACTATTGTTGAACTCGCATTTTTCTTAAGCTTTGTAATCGAATCATTTCCGTTTCAATCTAGTTTTCTTTTCATGTTCATCGACTCGTTTTACATGCTTTGCTTGATTTACTCTATGTGTAGCGAGTAGTTTATTTGGGTTCGGGGTTGAGAGGATTAAGGAGTCTAAAAGGTTTCGATCTTGGGGTTTTTCTAAAAGTTTTCAATGGCTATCTCTTCTAAGGTGTTGAGATCTCAATGCTTGAAGACTCTCACGCCAAGAGCTTAATGATCCGAGAGGTTCCTTACCTTGACAGGATTCAGGAGCCTCGGAAGATCACACCTTAGAGACTAGTTACCCCTTCCCAAAAGCCATGGGAGTTTGGGGGATTATTTAAGCCATTCATTTGAAATCTGTTTTCCTTGCCCTTCGACCTCTCTTTCCACCAAAAGCCATGGGTTTGGAGGAGAGGATGAAGGAGTGATCTATACCGAAAGCCACAGATAGATCTTGCTTAGTTTTCAAGGCTTAAAGATCCTCACCAAGTGAGTCGATTTAAAGTTTTAAACCCAAGGTCGAACCTTTGAAACCCCTGACCATGAATCTCAACCCTAGGCCCTTTCTTTTAGCATCTTTACATCTTATCTCGTCTTTCGCTTGATCTCTGATAGCATCCTGGTCATTAGTTTTACTGTTCTTGTATTTTTAGACGAGATCGATTGTTACTGCTCGATCTAGTGGTCGATCTCATGGTCGATCCACTAGTCGAATTTTAATAATTCGAAGCTTTCTCCTTTAATTATTCTGTTTGTTTCTCGTGGTAGTTTCTTCATTTCTAGTATTTTTCAAATAGGTTGCATTCTATTTAAGTTGCTGCATCTAGTTTTTAGAGATTTTCTCATAAATCATCTCATTTCGCTTAGATTTGCATTAGTCCTTGTATTCTCTGTGCATTCTCTATCATCCTAGGCATGGATTGACTCTCTCTTGCTTGCTGTACTACAACATATCTTGCATTTGAGTTTGATAACCTCACTGCAATTTAACCCTTGCTCAAAGAGTGTCTATCAGTGTGAGGCCTATTTTTGAATGAACTAACCATAAAGTGTTAGGTGGGCACGACAAGGATAAGTTGCTATGTAGAACTAGCTCCTCACTTTGAGCTAGACATAGGTTTAGGATGGTAGTTATAGGTATGGACGGATTTGAGTGTTACATTGATCTAAAAGGGCAGAGTGAGAGAAGGAAGAAAGTGAAAAGGGGAAAGGGATGAAGATGGGAAAGCAAACAAAAGCTCAGCATGTGTGGAACCAAATAAGCTCAAAAAGGGTGGCCATTATGAAGAAAGAGTCTCAGCAACAACAAATAAGGCACCAAAGCCTAAATACATCAAAAAGATGAAGAAATGAAGACTCCCAAACAAAAAGAAAAGGCGCCCACAACAAAGGAGCACAAAGAAGGCCACAACATGATGAGATCAAAGAAGAAGCTTCCCTGAAAATGGCAAAGTGTGGAGAGTGTGAGAGTGTGGAGAAAGGGTAGTTAGGATTGGGTCTGATTTGGGATAGGGGTTTTGGGGTTTAGAACATTCTTAAGGATTGGGTAGATAGTAATTTATCCTTGTATGCATAATTTGTGCTTAACCTTTAGCATTATGCCCAAGTTCATTCTTTTTTGAGAGAAACCCTTGCACTTGAACCCATATTTTTAATGAGATCATTTTTATCTCATAACCTTAACCCTTAGCCAAATGATTCCACTTGATTTGCTTGAATATGATTCACTTGGTTACAAAGTTTAAATGAATGTTAAAGGGATTGATTGATTTGAGCATTTGACTAGGCTGAGCTAGAGATCATTTTGAAACAGGAAAAGCATGGCTAGGTTCTTATTAGTATGACTGATTTTGTTTGCATCCTACATTTAAGCACTTAGACATTGACTTCACTTCTTTAACTTATCATTTTGGATTTGAATGCCCACCTTCAAACCTCACTTCCCCTTGTCTTAGTTTGTTTGCTTGAGGACAAGCAAAAGGCAAGTGTGAGGGTGTTGATATCTCCATTACTTATACCATTTTAGCTTGCATTCATCACTAGTTTTAGTCTCTAAACATGCATATTTTGCTTCTTCTTGTCCCATTTGCATAGATTTAGGAGTTAGTGTAGTTTTAGGAGCTGCATTGCATTTTTCATACATTTGGAGTTTTATTCAGGTACATTAAGGAGTGTGGAGGTCATGTGGTGCAATGGGTGTGAGCTGAAAATGGAGAAAGGCAAGAGACAAAAGCGGATGGACTAATATCGATGATGATATCGACATCATGTGATCGATACGGAGCATATCGATGGGAGTATCGACCACTTCAGCATCGATACAGAAGAGGCATAGTGTGAACGAAGCATATCGACTTAGAAACCTCGATGCAGTAGAATGGAGTCCATATCGAGCAATGTATAGATGTCCCAGACCGATACACATGACAGGGCAATACCGAGGTTCCATATTAACTTGCTTGATCGATAAGCCTTAACCAAAGGGCGATTGTATCGACTTCACACCTTGGACAGCCAAACCGATACAACTTGGAAGCCTTATGTATTGACGTGCATATCGACCAAGAGACATCGATACAACCCAGAAGAAGAGATGATAGACACGTATATCGATGTTTACTGTCGATATGGTCTGTCCGAGTCAGCTTATTTTTGGTTTATTCTTGGTTTACTAGAGGTTTCCTAGTTCTCCTATAAATACTAAAGTCCTAAAATGGTTAGGCAATTTGGAACTTAATATTTCTTTTCTGTTCTTGCACTTAAAACCTTTCTTCTTTCAGATTTGCTTTGTAAGAACTAGTTTGATTTAGTGAATTTCTGTATTTGCCTTTGATCTATTCTTTTTTATTCTGCTTCCTAATCATGTTTAACAATCTTTTCTCTTTGGAATTTGTGGTTTTGACTATGGCTAGTGAGTAGTCTTATTAAGGGTTTGAGATAGGATAGATTAGAGGGGTTTTAGGACTAGATTAGTGATGTCTTGTGCTTAATATGATTGTCTTCTTTCTATTAGATGTGCTTAACACTAGATTAGTCTTGACCAGGCTTGCTTAGTATCTTGGGTTTCTCTTGCGCCTAGTAAGTGTTTGATGAAACGCTGCTTAGAGTCTCTTAGAGGATTTGTATGCTTAGCCTAAGGAATTAGATGTCTAAGGTGCATTTTGGCTTTATAGGATTGGAGTTCTGTTACGAATGCTTGCTTATAATATGTTTGAGTAAATAGATTTATCTTGAATGTGTGCTTAACAAAGTGATTAGTGTCAAAGAATTGAGCTAGCTATAGTTGTTAATCCTATGCCTAGAAGATAGCATTGTTTGAATGGTTTTGAAGCATCACTAGTTAGGTTCTAATCCTCTCTTAATCAATAACCCCCATCTTAGATCCTTACTTCATCTGTTTGAATTTTTTGCTTTGTTTAGTTCAGTCTTTAGACTTGTTAGTTTTGTTCACAACTGCCTTCTTGTATCTTGCTTGGCTTAAATGATTTGCTGTATTCTTGGTGCCTTAAGAACTCAGATGGATTGATACCTTACATGCTGCAATGACATGAGTGTGTTAGGATTTTCTTAGTAGTCGTAATCCTGCTATCATGTATGTCGGTCTGCCCCCCACCCCCCTCCTTTTAGCGCCAATTGTTTGGACATAAGTCACTGGATAAGTACAGTATATGTTTGTCTGAGTGTGAGGAGCTATGTCTCCAGGTTTTGTCTTCTGGGGGATGGGCGACATACGGCTCCGAGACAGAGGTGAAGAGAATACTTATCTCTCTAGGCATCGCCATCGCAGAACAGTGAGCATTCCCTTATGGGTTCACTGTGTTGCAGGGCTCGGGGCAGAGGTTAGAGGTTTGGTGGTGGTGGTCGTCCTTCCTCGGATCCGGAATCGGGTCTCCAGTAAGGAAATTGACCTTTCTCTCTCTCTCTAGTCGGGCCATCCTCTAGTCACGTCGTTCTCTCCTCCCTTTCTCTTTGGCTCTCAACCTTCTTTTATACATCTCCAAATTCGTCTTGTCCCATCTGTATGGTACGCCGCGGAAGCAGACGACTTAGTATAGCACGCCTGCTACATTAAATACGTCACCCGCTTCAGAACAATCCATTAAAAAATTAGTGATAGGCCTAGCAAAAAAAAAAATCAGCGTTTTAATAGGATTTAGTATCTATATATCGTCTCAATATTAATCATCATAAAAATGGACTTAACAAATTTATATAAAATTGCTTAATTTTTTTTTTTTTTAATTTTAATTTTTCTGAGATTTATTATTTTTATTAAAAAAAATTATTAGATTCGGAAAAAATTATATATTTAAAAAATTTATAAAAATATTTATCGTAATTAATTTTAAAAATCTTAAATATATATTATAATTAGTATATTAAAAAATTATGTTTCATATATTAATTTATTTAAAATTCCTATTCAATACCTAAAAAATTAATAAAATTATAGATCTTTAAAATTAAAACTTTTAAATAATAATAAATTTTGTATGAATTTTAAAAATTATTAAACTTATAACACTAAATTTTAATAAGAATATTCATATCCTAATTAAAAACCCCCTCTATAGGACCGTTTAAACCCTGAATCTTTAATTATTTCCCAAAAACTCCTAAAAGTAGCCACAAATCGCCGCCGCCAAGTCGAAACCTTTATCGGGCACTTTGATTTTCCGGTGATCTCGAGATTTTGGATCTTCACAGATGAATTCGATGCGACGTATTTCGCTAACGCAGCGACGAAAAAGGTTGAACACCATTGGATCTTGCGTTCGGCATTTCTGCGGTGACCGCGTGAAAGACGAAGGAGACTGGTTTTACTCGTCGGAATGGTGGGACCCTCATGACGGTGGCCACACGGTTTCACAAGCTACCTCCGGCAAAGGAAACGGCGTCGTTTCAGTCGTCGCACACCCTTCCTCTCTTCCTGTGAGTATATCATGCTTTCTTCATCTCTACAATCAAGGTGTCTTTGGGTGTGAAAATGTGGATTCAATCCTTGAAAACCTGAGTTTTTGATCTTGATCTGTAGATTATTGAAGTTAAACATTGTTTGAATATATTAGTATCTGAGGAATCAATCTTTGAAACCTGTGATTTTGTTCCTGATCTGTAGATTAGTGAAGTTAAAACATTGTTCGAATATGCAAGTATCTGGGAATCAGTGTTGTTGAAGTTAAAACATTGTTAATCTATGTATCTGTGGAATCAATTCTTGAGACCTGAGGTTGTTCTCTGATCTGTAGATTGTTGAAGTTGAAACATTGATTGATTGATCTGGGAGGGTTTTCTAATGACTTTCTCTTATGTAGAGTAGAGATTCATGGGCAATAACTGAGAGTTGGCTAGAGAAAAGGTATATGGAGATAATGCCTACAGATGGAGAGAGGAATGAGAGGTTTAAGATACTTGGATATCAGTGGAGATCGCTTCGGTTCAATGATGATACTCGACAAAGCACGGTGAAAGTCATGGCTGCTTGTAGGGAATTGCAAGCGAGTTCGATTTTCTACATGCAACAACCACATTGCCTTGCTGTTCCATGTAATATGTTAAACCATTTTTTTTTCCTTTCTTTATATGCCATCTTGTGTCTCTTTTAGTGATTACGAGCTCTCTTAGTTTCCACTAGATGCTTAATCTTTCGGAGATCCATGGACATGCCACAGAACATGATACACAGAACATGACTTGTTCAAATGAGAGAATGGGGCTAATAGATTTAGTTATTTGTCATGTTCAACTTTCTGTTTGTTCTCTGTTTCCGATTATAAAAACGGTCTGTGCATTATTTTTTTCGCTGACACAGTTCTGAAGAACTAGTTGCTGAAAGATTGGACTAGATCTAGGAATGTGGTCAAAGGGTTTGCTTCTTATGTATAGTCTCTTGTTTATTGTGTTTAATATATGTCTTAGTCCTCTGTATTCAACAATAAAAGAGTCTCTCTTTATTTTTTATGACAGATTTGAATAGAGCATGGTTTCCATTTTAGAAAAGGATATCTGCATAATTGTTTTCCTTGACACAGTTCAAATGAGGAGCCAAATGGTGAAAGAAAGGACTAGATTAAGGAATGTTGATTAAGGGTTTGCTTATTATGTATAAACGCTTGTTTATTGTGTTCAATGTATGTATTAGTTCTCTATTTTCAAGTATAAAAGCTTAATGGCGATTTCCGCTGTTGTTTTAGTTGTCCCCTGCCTCGAGAAAGGTACTTAAGCCGGTCTCTTTTTGTTTTTGGTGACAGATTTGAAGAGCATGGTTTCAGTTGGATTGACTTCACTTGCAGCTTCTAAATTTGATATGAAGAGTGCAGCTATTGGGAAGAAACAAATGCGTATACTATGCATCGGTCACGGTGGAGGAAGCTTACCGTTGTTTTTAGCTAAACACCTTCTTGGTAGGAACTTTTCATTGTACCTATCTCCTTTTTCTAGAACTTCCATCTCTTAATTCTTATGTTAATTCATGAGAATGGTGTTATTAATCCGTCTTCTAGGTGCTGTTGTTGACATAGTTGAGATCGATCCACTTGTGATCTCAGAATCGGTTCGAGCAATGGGCTTCCCTGCATTCTCCGTCATGACAGCAACCGGGAAACGCGCATCACCGGCTCCTGACATTATCGACCAAGTGATGTGGCGAGACATCCATGAGAGGCTCTTCCTCTACGAATCAGATGCTAAGGAGTTCATTCTCAAGAACGAAGATAATTCTTATGACGTGATCTTCATGGATGCTTATAACGGAGCAGACATCTTTCCTCATACTCTATGGGATTCGGATTCGGTGTTCATGAAAGCTTTGAGTGAAAGACTTCACCATGAGCATGGAACTCTGGTGGTGAACCTTCACTCTGATGCAGACATCTCAGACATAGACAGGTCAAACGAAGGAGTAACAACGGGGAAGTATGTGAGGAAAGTCGGTAGAGCTTATAAAAAAGGTTTGATGGAGAATCAGAGGAAGGGGATGGTGTTTGCTTGTGAAGTTCCATGGCTGTGTAATGCAACTCTTCTTGTGAGCAGAGGGATGAGGTCAGAAGGAAGGCATAGAGACAAAATCATGAACAATCTCATGAAGACTTCTTTAGAAGTGGACCAAATCTTGCGTCTGCCTTTCTCTTGCTTAAATTATCTGAAAATTGGTCTTGCCCTCATATAAATTGGTCTCAGGTATAATGAGAAATAAGACAAAAACAAAACACAATAGGGTGGAGCTATTCAAACAGAAACTCCATAAGGTGGGGTTATTCAAACAAAAATAATTTGATGAATTTGAAAGAATTGAAGCTTCTATTTAACTTTAATGTTACTAAATTACGTAATGTAAGCTATGGAATTAATGTTATCAATCCGCCACTTCTCTCCAAATTCTTCAAACTCCCACATCTTCTTTTGATTGGACCAGTACTAGGACCAATATCAAGAGCAGATGGATCATTGTTCATTAAATGATGTAAATGGTTTCACCTCTCTGTGTTGCTTGGAATTCAAAGGTTTTATGGTAGAGAAGAAAGGAGCAACAAGTTTCCTAGAAGAACAAAATTCAAAAAGGATGATTATTCTCACAAAATGGTTCAACCATTTACATCGTTTAATGACTAACAACGATCCTTTTGCTGTTGATATTTGCTCTAGTAGTGGTCTGATGAAAAGCTGATGTGGTTGAACAAATGGCTCACAAAGCTTGAAGAAGTTAGAGAGAAGTGGAAGATTTATAACATCGGTTTCATACTTTTAGGTGGAATCAGTAGAGTAGATCACGAAAACGGATATAATGAGCCTGTTAGTTCTTTGATGATGCGGCTCGACATAGTAACAATGGCGTTTGAGCCAACTTAGGAATAGGAAAGGGGAGTTATGTGTGGCTATACACAGTTTTAAGGACTTCTACTCGCAATGAAACACATATCTTCATTAACGGAGTTGGGATATGATTATGGAGCATCTAAAGAATATGACAAGAAGATGTGCATAGATCATAAAAATGCAGTGGCTCATTTGGATGATGATCTTGTTTTTTCAAGTGATTTTAATATTTCTTTTTGTTTTATCTCTAATCTTGTATTCCCATTTTCACTAAATTATTGAGATTTTTACTAGTGCTCGGATCTTTTTTGAACAGAAAATACTCTATATATTAAGGGAGAATTGCTGAAAATAATCTAAAAATAAGATTTTTCAAGAAGTCTAAACTTTCTATTGAATGTTTGACAAAACTAATTTAAAGGGGTAGTGAAATTACAGTTCAATCTTTTATAAGTAAACAAAAAACGTCGTCCACCACTGTTACGATTTTATCCCTGGAAAGTCTACGTAAGATGTCTACTATTTTAGACTTCTAAAGAAGTTTACTCTTGTAGACTGTTAAAGAAGTCTACATAAGTAGACTTCACAAGAAGTCTACTACATAATTAGCTTTAAAAAATTAATTAGAAAATATAAAATAAATAAATTTTTAAAAAATTGGTAAACATAAGTAAGACATATATATTTGATATGTATATAATACCAAATTTCAAACAAACGAATCAATTTAAATGTAGAAAGAAAAATCAATTAGAAAACAGCACAATCCCATACAAGTCTACTATAGAAGTCTACTAGATAACTAAATCTTAAATTTTATTTATTAAAACTATAAAAAAATATTATGATACAAATATTATCAATATAATCATAACATAGACAATTGACATCTATATTAAATAAAATTTTATGAAAATATTAATTTATAAGTTTCATAAGTATAAGGTTGAAAAGGGTTAGGGTTTGAAGTTGAAAAGGGTTAGGGTTTGAGATGTAAAGTTTAGGGTAAATCCATATTCTATATGAATCTTAGTTTATGGTTTGATTAATGATTTAAAGTCCATATCATTGTTATTTGAACTTTAAAATATAAAAATGGTAAGAAAATTAATGTTTTTATACAAGTTTAAATAAAAAATGTTTCATTTAGAGTTTAGGGTAAACCGACTTATGCAGTAGACTTCACGGGTAGACTTCTCTAGTAGACTTAAAAAAAACATAGCGGAAAATCGAAATTATTTAATAAATTGGGCGGGAACCGGAACAAATTGGGCGGGAATCGAAATCGAAAAATATACTGAAGTAGACTTTTCAAGTAGACTTCTCCAATAGACTTCTTAAGAAGTCTACTTAACCGAAAATTTTCCTACATATATAAGGAGAATTTAACCTAATTGTGTTAGAAATAAAGTTTTTCTCTCCCTCTAAAAAACGCCTCTCTCTCCTCTACCTACTCTCTGGCCATGAATCTCTTCTCATTCCTCTCTTGCCGTCAATCTCATCTCCATCCTCCATCCTCTTTATCTCGATTATGGTGATGGTAAGCAAATATGAGGTTTTGTGTTTTTTTTGTTGTTTGCTTTGTTCATATTGTAAACATGTGCTTATTATTACATATTTGAGCTTATTGTTGTAGATATGAGTTTATTTTTGCAAATATGCGCTTATTGTCGTCTAAATTTTTGTTGCAAATCTGATTTTTTTGTTGATGCAGATCTGAATTTATTTTTTTGTTGCAGATCTGATTTGTTTATTTTGTTGCAGATATGAGTTTTGTTTATTTTGTTGCAGATTTTGAATTTTTTTATTGTCGCATAGCTGGGGGTTTTTTTTTACTGCAGATATGATGTTTGTAAATATATCAAATTTTGTTGAAATCTGAATTTGAACATTTTTTTTCTTATTGTGGAGATCTGGGCGTATTTCTCTTTTGATTTTGTTGGAAGCAGACTACAGCCGCAGACTTCTCGAGCAGACTTCAGTCACATACATCTATTTCAGACATTTTGTTTTTATATGCAAATTTTAAGATTTATAATAAGTGACCCTTAAATGTTTGTTTGTTTAGAAGGTCTGCTTTATATGTAATGTTGGATTGCACTAAATGTTATTAATCATATTCTTAAATTATGTGTGTTTATCATATTCATATTTTATATGCAGACTTCTTTGTCAGACTTTATATGTAGACTTCTCGATTAGACTTCACAAGTTTATTTATATTACATAACATATGGTCATCACCAAACTTCTTCCTTGACATCTTACTTAATTCAACCTCTAGTAACACAAGAAAATTAATTCAATTTTAAGTATACAACAAAATATGTAAACATAACAAAAAGAAAAATATGTAAACTACTTAGAAATGCCATAACAAGTCTTTCTTCACCTATTCTCTATAAACAGTGGGAATGTGAATCATTCTCTGAAAGAAAACAAAATTCAAACCACATTAGAAATCATTGTGGAAAAAATAGACTGCAAACAAAGTCTACTATGTAGACTTCAAATGAAGTTTGCGGACTATTAAACTAAATACCAAATAAAAGAAGAAGATTAATTAAAGCTAAACTGTAACAAAAAAAAATTCAAACTCATACATAAGCAAGAACAATAAATATCACACATTTAAGAGTCAAATAATAAATTTTATTTTTCAAATAACTGATCAATTAAATTTATAAAAAATTAATATCAAAGGCCTACATAGGTAAGAACAATAAATAACATGTCAAACTCCTACATAGGTAAGAACAATAAATAACACACACTTAAGAGTTAAAAAATAAATTTTATTTGTTACAAATATCTGATCAATTAATTCTATAAAAAAAAATATCGCAGACTGCAAACGAAGCTTACGGACTAGTAATCTAAATACCAAATAAAACAAAAAAAATTGATTTCACCAAATATATATAATATAAACATGTAAAACTGATATAGATGTAAATACACTTACTAAAACAATTGTAGGACCAAGAAAATCTTAAAAATTCGTTGTAAATTTGATAAAAATGTGTTTATAAAGAAAAAGTGAAATAGTAGACTAACAACGAAGTTTACAAAAGTAGACTAGCAACGAAGTCTACAACTTCGTATGAAGTCTAAATTTTAGGTTACTTTTGCAATTGCCAAAAATGAGAGGGTGCTCCCTAATAAACTCGGAATAAACCAGATTAAGTCTGGTTTGGATGGCCCATTTCGGGCAGTCTACATCGATGTATAGGTAGATATGCACGTTCTAAAGGCTGCATCGACCTAGCTACCCCGGTGTACGGCTTGATGTGGATCCCCTTGAATGCTGCATCGACCAAACCCTTCTCGATACCTTGCTCAATGTGGATGTCAGGAAGGTTTGCATCAACCAAACCCTCTTCCATGTGTTACTCAATGTCATCGTCATGAGCCTTGCATCGACCTACTCCTGCTCGATGTCCACGTCGATGTGGGTCTCCTGAAGAGCATGCATCGGCCACAGGGGCTCAATGTGGTGCTCGGTGTAGACTTCTCGAATTGTGCATCGGACACGTTTGATCGATGTGTTCCTTGCTGTACACTTCTTAATCGTTGCATTGACCATGCCTGGTCGATGTGTACCTCAGTGTGACTTCACATCGAGCAGAAATGCCCTATATACACCTTGATGTGACCCTTAACTCCTTGCTTCTGCTTTGCTTTACCTTGGCTCGACTCCATGATCATCCCCAAAGCTCATCATAGTCTCCAAACACCTCAAATGTACCTGCCACATACTCCAAATGCAATAAACATGCAATGCGTGTCCTAAACATACTCTAAGTTCTAAATGGATACAAATGGAACAAGAACAAGTAAAAAATGCATGCTTAGAGACTAAAAACTAATTTTAAATGTATGCTAAAATGGTATAAATATATATTATATCACAATGATTCATTTGAAAAAAATCTCCTAATCAATATCTAATTTCCATTAGTGATCAAGACATCATCAAGCATGAAGTAACAGTTCAGAGCTATTAAACTTCCTAATCATGCATTCTCATGTGCTAGGTAAGTATATCCATTAAAAGGTTGGTTCAGGCATTTCAGCAAACACATTTGATGTAAGAGAAAACCAAATTTTGAAACTCACATAAGCAGGGTAAATCAAGCATTAAGAACATCAAATAATAAAGGATCTAACAGCATCTACACCTAAACATCAAGTTTTAAGCCTTTGATCATCCTAAATCTAATCCATCCTGAAACCAAGAAATGACTACTCACAGATCATGGTTGATCTTTCAAAATCTAGACAGATGATGAATGAAAACATGATCAAAAGCAATAGATAGATGATCAAAAACAAGAAATACAAAATCTGAATAAAACTCCAAAGTATTGCTTACAAATCTCCATAACTCAGAAAATAACTCAAGAACAAGAGAGAGAGAGAGAGAGAGAGAGCATGCATCGGCCACAGGTGCTCGATGTGGTGCTCGGTGTAGACTTCTGGAATTGTGCATCGGGAAAGTTTGATCGATGTGTTCCTTGCTGTAAACTTCTTAATCGTTGCATTGACCATGCCTGG